TATAACGGCTGCCACAAGCGCTGAAAAATATCGGCTTCTATTAGCGCTAATCTTGTTTAAAAAAAAAAATTAATTAAAAAGAAATCTCGAAAAGCATGTCTATGCAAACAATGAAATCTACAACTTTAATGTTCACAGAGAAAAACATAATTATCTAGAGTGAATGGTTAACAGACATACATGTGGAACATTTTCAGTATCTCTTACAAAATTGTTCAGAATATAAGGCCGTAAAAACATGACGAATACAATTACTTAATATACAACTTGTATCAATAGATAAGAAACATATACAAATACTACATAGTTCATCTGGTCCATTAGACAGACATTGGGTACATAGCTATTACGACAGAAAAAATATATTTATACATGATTCTTTAAATAATAAAACTTTGTACAATCTTTGTACAAAACATCATGAACAATTTTTAAAAAGATTATTTTCAACATATAATTTTCAGAAATATTCTGTCAAATTTCCTAATGTGCAACATCAACCAAATTGTAGCGACTATGGTGTTTTTGCTTTGTTTGTAGCTTTTGCGGTTTCATTATTATTTAATATTAAACCTGACAAAGTAAAGTACGAATATAAGTTAATGCGTTCACATTTGGTAAAAATTCTTGAAACAAATAATATAATTGAGCATTCCTTCAAGATCCACTATACGTTACTCAAAAAATACTTCCATTAGCAGTAATACAAGCGAGAGAAGTTAAAGCGTATCAGGAGATATGGTAATGTCTTAGATGTCAAGTTAATCGAACATTACCGTGTGACTTTATGCGAACTGGTAAGATGCGAGCACCCGAGATTATCAGATCTCAATAACGGTCGAACCGATCAAATTCTAAGTAGGCTCGATCGATAGCTTGAGTTCAATTTGCATAATAAAATTATTTTTATTTTTTTTCTACGTGTCCTCCCGTATGCAAAACTATTGAGAATTATTCAGATTTCTAGTTAGTATTAAATTTGTGTAGTAATTTGAGTAGTAATTATTGGCGATTACATCCATGAATCGTAATTGAATAGTAACTGCAACTATTGGCGACTACGTGTATGAATAGTAATTGAATAGCTATTCATGCATGTAATCGCCAATAGTTAGTACTCAAGTTATTACAGAAAATTGAATGGTAACTATAGAGATCTGAATAGTTCTCAATAATTTCTTTTCATACAGGAGTGTAAGAAAATTGGTGTTGCTTTTTAAAAAAAAACATGTAATTACATATTACGAATTGCATAATTCTTTTTTAAAAACAACTATATGTTTTCTATGCACTAATTTATTTATCTTATTTTATGCATAAAAGTATTAAGATATAATAGCAAAGACTGAATAGTTTATGAGATATTTTATATTTTATATTGAAATGTGCAAGAGTAAAGTGTAAAGTTATTAATTTTTTGACAATTTTATCTTAATATTTTTATCTTAATATTTTTATATATATTTTTTTGCAGAAAATCGGAGAAATCATGTATTGATTTTTTTCGAAAATTAATTTTACCATTATTTGTCTCCCTTCAAAACATATATCTTTTATTTCAAACGTTTTTCCATTTTTCATCAATAATTTTCGAAAAATCTCAATCCGTCATTTAAAATAAGACATCCTGTATATACATCATTTTATTTAACATTATTTTAAAAAATACAATAAAAAGATTACTAATCCGCGTACTATTCAGAATATGGCATATCATTCAATATTAATATTAGATTTCCACGATTTTTCATGAAAATCGCGAATTAGTAATTTGTAATTATTTATTCCAATAGAAGAAGATGAGTAGTAAACTACTCATGAGTCTAATAAAGAATACTAAATCCTTATAATTACTATTCGCTCCAATAGTAAACTATTTACAATTCTAATAATAATGAATAGTAAGTGCCTATTATTATTTGTTCCAAACAGTAAACTACTTATAATGTTAGGTATACAAAAAAGTTCTGAACTTTAGATTTCATACAACCGAAATAACAATTTAAATTTTATATATCTTCCTGCTCTTTTGCGGTTTTAAAGCGTTGACATTTGGCCTTCTAAAATTCCATACGGTTTGGCGTTTGATGCACATCAAAAATCAATAGTGTTCACGATGGCAATAACAAAAGAGCATATTAGATTTTCCATCCACTTCGCGTTTCATCTGAAGAAAAATGCTGCTGAAGCCATTGCAATGATTTGTGCTGCATATGGAGAGAACGTTGTAAGTCATACTACATGTAAAAGATGGTATCAAAAATTTCGCCAAGGAGATTTCAGTCTTGAAGATGAACCGCTGGATGCCCTCAAAAGATTGAAACGGACGAATTGCAAGCACTGCTGGATATAAACTCTGCGCAAACTGAAAAGGAGCTTGCAGCTTAGCGTTACGCAGCAAACCATTTCCGTACGTTTACATACGATGGGAAAGGTTCAGAAGGAAGGCAGATGGGTTCCGCATGAATTGTTCGAAGACAACAAAAATCGTCGGCGTGACACTGCACTCACTTTGCTTTCAAAGTTCCGGAAAAAAGATTTTCTGCACAAAATCATTACAGGCGATGAAAAGTGGATTCTTTATGATAACCCTAAACGTAGAAAATCATGGGTTGACCCTGGTCAATCTTCATCGACATCGACGCCAAAGCCCAATATCCATGCCAAAAAGGTTTTGATCTGTATCTGGTGGAAAGTTTTATTGTATTACGAGTTGTTACAACCGGGTGAAACAATCACGGCAAACCGCTACCAACAATTGACCAACAACAATTGACCAATTTGA